TAGATTCACTGCCTTTGTGTATACACATATACATATATTAAAGACTCACTGCCATAGAGTCAATGATCGCTCATAGCGACCCTCTGTGGGTTTCCAAGACTGTAACTGTTTACTGGAGTAAGAAAGCCCAGTCTTTCTCCTATGGAGCTGCTGGTGGTCTAGAACTGCCAGCCAAGGTGATCGCAGCCTGTATAACCACCACGCCACCAGTAGTTGTTTAAGCCGTTTGCTATTCTCCTGGACTACAGTTTTCATTCACTCACCCTTTTCTCCCCTCTCCACTGGAACAGACCGCAGGGATGCGTACCTACTGACGGTGTCCAAAGGAAAGCCCCACTTCAAACTCTTCATGAGTTAGGGTCTAGGTCCCAAATGAGCCGATGCCTACTCATAGTGACCCTGTAGGGCAACATAGAACTGACCCTGTGAGTTTCCGAGACTGTAACTTATTACGGGAGTAGAAAACCCTGTCTTTCTTTTGTTGGAGCTGTGGGTGGTTTCGAACTGCTGACTTTGCAGGTAACAGCTGAGACTCGTAGAAACAGTACAAGGTCTCTGGCCAGGGTGCACACCGGCTGCCTCTGTTGGTGCTCTGCATCCCCTCATTGCCCTTTGGCTCCCCTGCCCCTCTCGATTTCACACCGTGGCTGCAAGTTTTCATGGCCTCTCTCCCGCCCCTCCCTTGTCCTTATTTCTCACAGCAGGAACGCATTTCATATACACCTCCAGAGAGCCCGCTGCCCAGTTACGCCGCTGCCACGACTCCGCTTCATGTTCCAGTGCCTCGAGCGCTCAGGATGGAGGAAGAGTCCATTCGCCTGCCAGCGCACCTGCGTGAGTGTTGCCTCCATGGCGGCCGTGGCAGGGAAGGGAGGGACCGGTAGCCTAACGGAGGACTGACTGACTGACTGACCCACTTCAGGCCCTGAGCTCTGAGATGGATCCTTCTAACTGTTTGGGGGAGCTTTCTCTTCAACCCAAAAATGAGTTTTAAAAAACTTGAGATTGCTGCCTCTGTTTTGTAATGCATCCTTTTTAATCCCTGGCTATATTTAAAAATATATGTGAGGGGAATGTGCAGTAAGTATATGTCAGCATCCCCTCCCACTCCCCCATAGGGAAGGTGATTTGGGTGGGGTGGGGGGGGGCGCAGGGAAGTGTGTCCTTCTCAGTTCACACTTACGCTCCCCTCTTCCTTCCCTAGTCTCTTTATCCATGCTGGCTGCTTTTCTCTCCTCTATTTTAAATGTAGAGAAACCCCTTCGCTCGTCTCCTGTCTCCCACCCGCTCTCTTAGGCCTGCTTTGTTTCAACAGCTTCTGCCAGTTTGTAGTATTTCCACCGTTCTCTGCCCTTACCCTTTGCCGCCACCTGGATTTGAAACCACAGCGGCCCACTTGGCAGATCCTCAGGAGCCACACAGCCTTGCTCTTAGCCAGGGTCTCCAAAGCCACCGCCCTCCACTGGCCTCTCCTTTTTCTGTCTTCCTTCCCTGCCTCCCAGCCCAGGTGATAAAGGTGATTGGAGCAACTGGGGAGAAGCAGTCCCCTGATTGCCACCCTAAGCACGGTATCCAGTGCAGTGCCAGAGTCCGTGACTTGACTATCATCCTGAGGCCTCCATACACACAGGTTATGGAGGGCACTAAGAGGTCCTGTGGCCTGCCTTCTTTGCTTACCAACAGCTTGGGTTGTGCCATAGCTGTGCTTGCTGTCTCTTTCTGTCAGGTCCTTGTCCCCCTCCAGACCCACCCCTCCTCAGAAGCCACACGATTGCTTACTGGATGTGTGAACAAAAGGAGGAAGATGCAGGCTGCTCTTTTATTTTAGAATTCAGTGTAGTTCAGTGATTCAAATAGCTGTGGTGGTAGGAGGTCCTGGTAGGACACCTGACAGTGTCAGGTCTTGGGGGCAGCGAGACTCCCACCCCCTCTCCAGCTTTCCTTACCCGCCAGTACAGGTCTGCGTCATACAACGTTGGGCAGCATCGAGTCACAGACCTGGTCCTGCTCGCTTCGCTGTTGGTGGTCAAGGGAAGGCAGCTCTCCTTTTGTTTGTTATTTCTCCCAATGCAAGCGGAATCTGGCACGGGGGATATCATTGTCGATGTCAGATGGATCGTGGCCAAAAAGAGAGAATACCAGATCAAGATCTGCTTGTGTTTTATTGAATGAGCAAAGGCATTCAACTGTGTGGATCATAACAGACTATAGACCCCATTGAGAACACTTCATTGTACTCGTGCAGAATCTGTACAAAGACCAAGAGGTAGCCACAGGAACAGAACAATGCAATACCAAGTGGCTTAAAATCAGGAAAGTCGTGTGCCAGTGTTGGATCCTTTCACCATACTCATTCCGTGTGTATGCTGAGCAAATAATCTGAGAAGCAGGGCGATAGGAAGAAAATTAATTGGCATCAGGTTTAGAGAAAGGCTTATTAACAACCTGCAATCTGCAGATGATACAACTTTGCTTGCTAAAAGCAAGGAGGACTTGAAACGATTACTGACAAAGATCAAGGACTGCAGCCTTCAATATGGATTACAACTCACTAATAATAATGAAAAGATTAAAGCCCCATAACAAAACCAATAGATGGCATCATGATAATTAGAGAAAAGATCAAAGTTGTCAAGGATTTCACTTTTTTTGGATCCACAGCTAGTGCTCATGGAGGCAGCAACCAAGTGATCAAACAGTGTATCGCGCTGGGCAAAGGCATTGCACAGGACCGATGGCAAAGTTGAGGAACAAGGAAGTCGCTTTGAGTATTAACATGTGCCTGACCTCAAGCCATGATATTTTCAATCACCTCATCGGTATTTGGAAGTTGGACAGCGAATAAGGAAGACCTAGGAAGAACCGATGCATTTGCATTGTAGGAGTGATGAAGAATATTGCCTGCCAGAAAAGGAAAACAAACCCCAAACCCCAAAACTGTGTTCGAAGAAGTCAGAATGTTCTTTCAAGCAAGGATGTGAGACTCAGGGTCTATTCTCAGGAGAGAACAAAACTCAAACAGAGAGAGTTGATTCTGACTCACAGTGACACTGCAGGATGTGGTTTTCCGAAGCCGTAAATCTTTACAGGAGCAGAGCCTCCTCTTTCTTCTGCGGAGCAACTGGTGAGTGTAAACCCGACCTTGTGGTTCAAAGCCCAGTTCGTCCTGCTGACGTGGGTGGTTATTGTGAAAGAGGAAGATTGTCACGGAGCTGGATTGACACAGTGGCTGCAACAATGGGCGCAGACCTTACACCGCGTGCGGGGAAGTGGCCACTCTGGGCAGTGCTTCGTGCTCCTGTGCATCAGGTTGCTGTGAGTCAGAATTGATTCATCAGCACCTAATGGTTTTGTTTGTGTGTTCAACTGTTTATTACAAATTAGGTGAAGGTTTACGGAGCAAATCAGTTTTCCATTCAATCTTTCGCCTACCCTTTGCTTCTTGTCATTGATTGCAGTTCTCACAATGGAACCTCCCTCACCCCACTTCCCCACCTTGTTTCTCATTTCCATTTCTCCACTTTAACTAACCCTTCCTGTCTTCTGAGCTTTGTTCTTGGGCAAATCCTATCCTTCTTATTTCAAATGGTGGATTCATTTCAGGAGTATGCACCTCTCCAGAGTTACTGTTCCTCTTCCTTTTGGCTGGAAACTGAGCTGGGGAGTAAGTTCAGTTCCGGGCCTGAAGGGTGACCGACGGTCATCATCTCACGGGTTCTACCAGTCACTTCTACCACTCAGTCCCCTTAATGCTTGAAAACCCCTAAACCCTGACCCTTGCAGCACTAGAACATGGGTAGGATATAGGCAGGTGAGGCTGAAGAGCAGACTGGTGGGCGGATGGAGCCAGATGTACCTCCCTCCCTCCTCATTCCCATTCTCTCTTCCATACCCTGAGCTGCACACCCTGTGATCTCCAGTCACAGCCTCGCCCCACCACCACCCCTACCCCTGCTCTAACATGTGGTCTGGGTATTGCTGCTTCGCCTGGGCTGGGAGGCGAATGTTCATGCACCCATCCTACTGACTTCTCCCTTGTTAAAGAAATGATGGGGACTGCACAGCTGCCGGGTCATTCATGACTGCGGACACAGTTGTCTCTGTGTCCTTGTAAACCCAAGTGTCAAGACACCAGTGAAACAGAAAAAACTGGAAAAGGAACCACACCATGGTCAACAAGTCAATTCATAGAGCCCCTATAGAACAGAGTAGAACTGCTGAGACTGTAATTCTTTATGAGAGCAGATGGTCTTACCTTTCTCCTCAGAGTGGGTTTGAACCACTGGCCTTGTGGTTATAGCCCAGTGCTTACCCCGTGACACCATCCGGGAGAGAAACAGCAGCCAGGTAATATCCACACTTTTTCCTACATAAGTTCCTTGGGACCTGGGTTACAGAAATAAACACAACAGAAAAAATGTTGGTACAGCTTACATTTTAGTGGGGGGCCGGGGGGAACTTGTGAACCCTTGTCTCAAACAGGCTGTTTTCTTTCATAGAGTCTTCTCATTAAATTTTGAGACATCCTCTAAAGAATCTCTAACTCCTAGTTTGCCTCTGGATGCCTTTACATGTGTAAGGTGCTTTGTTTTCGGAATCATTTTATTGACATCCAATTCACATATCATACAACTGAATTGTTTGATCATATTAAGAAGAGTTGTGTAGTCATCACTACATAGAATCAATTTCAGAACATTGTCTTCTCATGCTCACCGTTGTGTTAGCTCCCCCTATCCATCCAACCACTCCTGCCATGCCCCTCGGTAATTATTAATCCAGTCACTATATTAATTTATATATCCTGGGTTTCATATGCAGAACATTATACAAAACAAACAGGAAACAGACAGAATACAAAAACAAAGTCGCACCAATAACAAAACAAAACAGAGATAAACCTCAACTGAGAAGAAAAAAGCAAATATTAAAAACAGAAACAACTTAAAATAGGTTAAAAGGGAGATCAACCGATAAAGGTATTTGTTTTAGGCTGACTCCATCTGCCCTAATTGACTGTACAGTGCTCTCTGTCTGATAGCAAGGCTCCTCTGGACTGTGGTTAGAGGGGAGTCACTGGAGTCTTACTAATCCATGTGGAGCCTGCAGATGGATTTTGGACTTCCACTGTCATTCGTAGCCTTCTGCAAACAAGTTCAGAATTTAAGCTCTGATCAGCCTTTTGGATTTTATTATTTACAATCCTTGGATCACAGGATGGTGTGCTTCTTCCATGTGAACTTACTTAATACCTCACTTAGATGGTTGCCTGTTTTAAAACAAGTTTTTAAGACACTGTTCTTTCTGATAGCCAGGTACCATCTGGTTTCTTCACCACACTTTGCACTAACATCTATATTTTTAGTGATCTTTTCATGAGGGATAGTATCAAGTAGGACCATGCTATGAAAGTTAATTATTCTTAGACTGGGGTAGAATTAAGTACAAGCCCCCAAATCCTTTCATGTATCTATGGCTTTTATTTGTCTCTGGTTCACTTTAGAGGCACCATTATCTTTTTATGATAGAGAACATTATAAATCATCCCTTTGGGGAATACGGTAATTCTATCGATAGTGTAGTTAATTTTGCCACTGTCATAGAATTTAAAACACTGTTAAGAAAAGGAAATTATACAGGTATAGGCCAGCTTTTCAGCTTGCAATGCATGAATTATTGACTTGTGCAGATTAAACTCTTAAGTGACTGAACACTACAGGAATAATGGGGATTGGTGGTGCTAGGGAAAACTTTCAATAACAGTCATTTACAAAGGCAGAACTATGCCTGCAAGACTAATAGACATGTGTAAGTTTCAAAAACCATTGTGTATG